CCCCCCCCCCCGGGGGTGTGTGACGGAGCAACGTCACTGATCTTGTCTTGATATTTGTGTTATGTCATGTATGTTTATTAGTTCTCTCTTGTTACTTACTGTTGCGCTTATTATTTTCAATATTGGCACTTTTTCGTTTTCGCGCTTAGACTCAAAAAATATATGTGATAATTTTTTTCTTCTTGATTAATTACATATTACCTGTCTTTCAACTTGATTGTTCCTTACAATCGTTCTAACTCGTGTCGGCTACTTGCTGTCATTGAATAAACTATTGGATCTTCATTCAACATTCAATACCATTTAATTTCCATTGCTATCATTCTACCATAACCAATACTGTGGCACCTGGCATTTTTATTAGTTGCATCTCTGATCCTTATCAAGCCGTTACAAGGAGATTTTAATACCCAACCGCGGTCACGCCACTTCTGAATATAGGACACACAGTTGTTTTTCTATTCGAGATCATAATTTTGCGAAATAAAAGTTTTGCAATGATATATCAAAGTAAAAAGCACTGTATCATGATGGAAAATGTCATCAAAGTTGCGGAAGTATTTTCCGGCGTTTGTTGTTCTTTAAATTTTTGTAGTAGAACATTAGCTCTTGCTAAGAAAGAAAAAAAGATTAATATCTACGGCATACCATAGCAGCGCTATATCAAAAAACAAAATAAATACAGAACTTTCGCACCGCCCATTAGGCCGATTCATCACAAAAATTTTACCTTTCGACAATTGTATGATCAATTAATCATGTAAAAATATAGCTCTAATATAAAATATTCTTTTTCCTTTTGTTTTATTGATTATTCCTGGTTTGAAAAAATAAAATCATGTTTATACACACACGTTTGCAAAGTAAAATATGTCTCGTAAAAGTTTATCAAAAAAGAAATACTAAATAAATTATCGTTCAATAGTTTGCATTAGTATTTGAGAAGCTAACTGATGGCTGTGATGATTGATTGCGTATAATACCATCGGTTGAAAGTTTAGCTGTTTTTTGTGGCGATTGAAAGTGTATATCAACATAGCCAACATCGTCAATAACCGCTTGCGAACGAATCGGCGGAGATGGTCTTGCGACAGTATTCATTCTTTCATATGATCCTTGAGAATTTCGATTACCACCGAAACTAACAGCTATATTAATTTCCACAACACCTGTTCGTGCATTACCATGAACTGGACGACGAATCGGATCGACAACAACATGCGTTGTTGGCATTGGTTTCGATGATTCATAGTTAGTAGTTGGTCGATTATTACCATTAACTATGTGCTTAATTGAATATGGATCTTCGACAGGTCGTCGTATGCCTTCATTGTATCTGTCGTCTGTTCGTCGTATGCCTTCATTGTATCTGTCGTCTGTTCGTCGTATGCCTTCATTGGATCTGTCGTCTGTTCGTCGTATGCCTTCATTGGATCTGTCGTCTGTTCGTATTAAGTCGGTCCTGTATCGATTATCACCTTGTGGTGAAAATGTATAGCGATCATTCGAGGTTCTTGCGAGTTTTGAAATCGTTGGATTTTGTTGGCCATATTCACGTTGAACATTGGTAGTATCGTCGATTACAACTAAGAAAGATGCAGAATATTCTTATCGTATAGGTATATTTATTTATTTTTAGAGTTACTTCTTGATGAATAAGCCATTATGAAGTAATGTTGGTAGATGTATGGTTAGAAAATGATGAAGTGGCCGATTCTGGGTGTCGAAGGAATGTCGATATATGAAACGAAAACGATTCTCATCATAAACAACGATAGAGAAGCATATACACATATCAAAACGGCAATAAAAATGCTAACGCCCTTTCGTTTCTCTTTTCAAAGAAATAAAGCAAGCGAGATAAGGCAGGATTTGTCATCGTATTCATCAAATATGTGCATACTTACCTATGAAAACGCGTGTAACTCTCTTTTATTTTCTACTATATCTTAAACATCTAATGAAACAACAATTTAAAAATACCGTCACATGATGACGATAACAAAGATATAATTGATAAAGCAGACAGTTCAGTTATCCGAAAATATTAAGTTTATTTTTACATTTTTAGATTGAATATTAATGAAAATAGAATGCAAATTTCGAACATCAACATTCGTATCAAATAACAATCAACATTTTATTACACACTACATATTTTTATAAGCTTTGGTGTTGTTGTTGTTGTGGCTGTTAATATAACATAGACCTCAAAATTTTTTTTTGTTCGAATTCGATTCTATTCAAATATGCAGAACCGCAATAACAAGATTTATTTATTTCTGAAAACGTTGGCGAAAAAGACGATAAAAAAAATGATTCATTGCGAACGACATAAAGAAACTATGCGAAAAATTCTCTTTATACGAAAATAAAATCTCATAAATATGTCAACAAGACTGTTGATACAGAATTCTTGAAAGAGAAGCCCACACTTTTAACGAGTTCAAGAGATTCATGTAAAGACGATTATCGTTTTAACCAGTCGAAAGCAGTTATAAAAACCTTATATAACAGCAACGAAAGTAATTTCAAAGTTTATGGATCATACGCGTTTCTTTGGCTGAGATTGTTGCGATGGTGTAATTTCAAAAAAAATACATAATACCTGTTATTTTGAGTAGCGCTGAAAAAACTCTTTGTATTTTCTTCCTTTAATCTAAGATCTTCCCTAGTGCTACTAAATTCATCTTATCTATGCCGAACAATATCTATCTAAAACCAATGCGACAGTCAACCAGATTTATACATCAAGATTTAATTAATATGCTTGTTTTCTGGACTAATAGACTTAATATTTTCACAGACGTTTAGATATTTACGTAGATTAATTTAAATAGCCGATGAAATAATTTAACGCATGCGATTGATTTATTTCACAAACTGAAATTTTCCGTTTTTTAAAAACTTGACTTTCATGTTAATTTGTTAAGAAGAAAAACTTTTGTATAAGCCAACAATGCTATTGGGGTTATACCAGACATTTGATCATTGCAATTTTTTCGTCAGATTACTCGGTTTCCTTTAATGCTATTTTTTCAAAGCGTGAATATTAAAGCCTATTTTCAAATATATCAAATTACTCAATCTCTACTATTCGTCTGTGGTCATAAAGATTAGAATATTGGCTTTGCAAGGTTTTATGGTCAAAGTTTGAATAAGTTATTCGAAAATAACATAAAAATAACGTTCTAATAAGAAAACTTTTCATAGATTTTACTATAGTTTCGAGAACATTGCATATAAAATCGATGAATTAATTTACGTTACGATGGGGCACTCACTTTTTCATCAATCCAAAACTATTCAAGTAATTTCTTGTGCACATTGTGTTGAGTTCGTTACAAATGTTAATTGTTTTAATGAAACAGGATTCACGCAAACAGCTTATGCTTTATACATGAGCCATTTTTCTTCGTAGTTTTTGATTGAGTAGGGGTGAATGAGCAAGGTTTTTACTCATGCTACGAAGCTACCAAGAAAAACTCGAGAAAAGATTTTTTCTTGCATATGCATTTTTTTGTGTAATAAAACATTTAGTTAAATCAACAACTTCAGCGCCAATTTTACTACATATGCGTTGCGTAAATAGATCATAAAGTTCACAGAAATGTTCTGTAGTTTCAAGAAAAACTGAAAAACGGCGTATAAACAGCACAATTCCAGTGCCGGTGATTACAACTTAAAAGGTAAACCAGCTATTTTCGGATTCAGTTCTAAAAATATCATCTGACGAACTTGAATTCCTTTGATACGTATTACAATTTTAAATACATCTCGAAAAGTTCTCACTTTTCCATTGTTGACTTCAGAGACACATCATCTATTTCTCTAGTATTAAAAACTAGAAGGCTATATGTGGGTGCTATTTTTAATTGGCGAGTAAATTAAATGGTTGGTAAGTTGTATTTAAAAATAAATATAAATTATTTTCACTCTATTAATATTTATTTTACTATAAATCTAAGTAAATTATTTCATTGCTGTGTGATATTTCATCCTGATCACACAGCGCATAAATTTAATAAAAATGAATTCATAAAAACCCGACATGTAAATTTGTTCATGATGAATTTGGGTTAAGAACGAGCATATATCATTGTTCGAATAATTACAAATAAATGGAGCGAAAATAACAAACGACTTCATTTTTAAATATAAATTGTGCCAAAGAAAAACATTTCTATTCATTTTAAATTAACAGGAAACGAGATCCTAAATGTCAACGCCACACTATTCTCTGAGATACCTATGCCGTCTGTAATTTAAACTACAGGAAGAACTTCACGTCTAATGTAGTTATATAACGTAAGCGGGACAAGCGACTTACGTTTTACAAATCATAGTTTTGTATCAGAGAAGATCTTCGGTAAAGGTAACTTTTTATATCTGTTTTAATACCTCAATGAAACCTTACAAGTAGATCAAGGTATTATTCTGAAATAAAGAATAAAGCTACTTTAAACATCAAGTGCAAAAAGAATGTTTTTTTCTTGGCAACGCTCGGAATGAATAAACAACCAACTTTTTAATTGCGCTCGACTCGAAAGAAAACTACCAAGAAAAAATAATTCATGTGTAAAACACGAGTGAGTCTGATGAATCACGCTGCGTGAATGCAATTCTCCATTTGTAAAATTAACTCGACACAATTTCAAGAGAAGAAAAAAGAACTGGTTAGACAATTTCAAATTGATGAAAAAGTGAATGTTCCCATTGTGCTATGAATAAATGCTAAGTGGACCAATAGATTTATTTGGAATTCTATCAACAATTTACTAAAGACTAGGATTTGTAATTATTAATATTGACTGTTTAATTTTCGCGGTGATTTTATCTACTATCTATACGCATTAATCTATAAATTTAGCGTAGAAATCGATGGGAAAAATGAGTATGAAATAATTAGGTTAGCATTATTGCTATTGCAAAACAGTTTAGATCTCGCTATTCAAATAGTCTAATCGTATTTTATCATAATCTTATATTTGAATACATCCTCTGACCCTCAGTAATGATTACGTGGCTTCCTCATTTATACAAAAAATTCAAGAATAAATGAATCTGTTCAAAATTTTAATTGCTACGATCGTCGCTTCGAAAAATATTCGAAGCCGAGAAAAACAGACCCACAAATGATCTAATATTCATATATTACATGACTCAACATATTACGATTGCATCATTCAAGTAAATTCGTAGAAGTTTTTCTTCTCATTTAGTATCTGGTCGTAAACGATCCAACAACAAAATCTTGTTAGAAGTGCAGTGTACGAAATAGATCTGACTCGAATATTTGATCGGGTAGGTACCACTAGACGATTATAGAAAATTCTATGCCACAGCAAGATGATGCTACAAAAATGTTCTAGTGCAAGTCATTCCAATAAGATCTTTAGGGCGGTAATTCAATTCTAGGATATTATGTAATCTCAAAATCGTGCGGAGAAGAAAATTGTTACAACCTGGAACGGTACTTCTCTGAGAATTTGATATTTCAGCATAGATGTTCTTTTTATTTCTAATCCTTCTTACTGATGTTCAACGTGTTAAGCATATGGGACTCGAATTACATTTACTAAATAGTCATTGTGATTTCGAACAATGATACAATTACTATAGAACAACGGTTTGCGTAGGATAATTTTCAAAACAAAAAGTAGAACTAAACATTAATCGCAAAGATTAGTATCGTAGAACGAAAAATAAAAAAGATTATAATGAAATTTGAAGTCGTCCATTAGCTCTGTAAACGATCATATTTCTCCTTGCGTAATGAAAAAAATCTACTCGTAATACTAAACCATGAAATAAGATCATTTCCATTTGTTGGTAAATCTGTTGTTTTGTTGGCCACGATTTATTTTCAAAGCGATGATCATGGTTGAAATCAAATAGTAGAATGTTTCAATCTACGTCCAATGCTACGTAGATGATCATATTATAAAGTAATTAATTTGCGTTAAAAGGTCTATGACAAGACATTAGTGTGACAAATTAAAATCAAGCTATTTTTAATAACGAAGTGTCAATTTTCTACTCGAAGAAATAGAATTGAAATTACCATATGGATCTCTATCTTACCTGAACAAAAATAAATCTAATATAGATTTTTCTTTTTGAAAGCATCACGAGCAAGACCTGATTTTAAATGAATGATTTTGTTAAATGATTAAGAATTTTTGTTACTGTTGGAACTATCATATGGTAAAGATTTTTTTTTCGTTATAAACATAAAAGTGAAGTTTTCTGGAAATGAACTTTGCTTATATATCAATTGACTGCGTGCATTTCTTGAGCACTTAACTCTACGCAAGTCCATCAAATCTCAATAGACATCACTTTGTTTTTTTTCTTCTTGAATGCTCTGATAGTGTCATAGTGTCTTCCCTATTTCAGTATTCGCTGAAATACAAATTACTATCAAACGCTCATGGATAATCGATTTGCTAAACATTCTATTCCATGAATTAATTATGAACGTATTTATCATATATAATGATGATGTTATAGAGTTAGTAGAGTAAACGAACAGCAGCAATGCTGATGATTATCTATTCATAGCAGAAATATTAAGTCTCAACTAATTACAATGCTCATTCAAGAATGCAGCCCCCAAGGCTCCATTTCAGCAATGAGACTCTTGGGAGTAAATGTTCGCTATTAGCCATCTTTATTCTTTTAATACTCTTGAACTCATTTTCATCGTAACAGACCGTGTCTTGAAAATTGAAATTCTTTGTTGTTCTTCTTCTTTTTGTATAACTGAACCTATTTGTTCTTAATTAAGAAGAGATCCTTTTTTTTTTTGAAAGAAAAGTTTTTTTTATTTGCATTCCGCTGGAGTAATCTTAATCTAAAAGTTTTGTTTAAAAAGATTAAAAAGCAACGATGACGATGACTCTTCTTTTGCTTTTCATTGAATCAATTATTGTTATAAACTAACAAGAAAGAGAAACAAAATATAAATTATTGTTGTGCACAGCTTTGTCGTTTGTTCGACGTACGTTGTCCTCGATTCGCCAATAGACTTGAATCGGAAGAACGTCGTATTATGTCTGGACTATAGGCCAAACTAAGATTAGCCGATTGAAGTAATACACGAAAGGCATTAAGTACGGACTCACGATTATGACATGTCGTTTCAACTAGAGTTGTTTTTAATTGATCGTGCACTATATTTTCAGCATACTCTTGATTGACTTCACGTTGTTCTATATTTAGGTCAGATTTGTTTGCAACAAATATTATTGGTATTGTGCTTGTTGAATCACTTTTGACTTCAAGAATAAGTTGATGCAGTTTTTGAGCCATACGAAATGACTGAGCATCGTTTACAGCATAGAGTATAAGAAATGCATCTCCGTGTGCTATTGCGATACGTCTCATGACAGGAAACTCGTCTATACCAGCTGTATCTAAGATTTCAAGTATAATTTGACGATCAACAAGCGAAAGTTCGACACTATGCAATTCATCGACCGTTTCTTTATGGTCAATTAGAAATTTTTCTTGTAAAAATTGTTGACATAAACATGTTTTACCTAGAAGAAAATAAAGTATGAAATAATCTTGAGTTCGTTTTTCTACGAACCAACTTTGGTCGATCCAAGTACCACAACTCGTAATTTATCATCGTGCGATTCCTGATCGAGTGTAACTGCTCGTTTCGTATGCAAATGAGAACGTTGATTTTTATCAACCTGAAGGCAGCGAGAATCTGTTGGATCATCCTGATCTTTAATGGGTGACATTCTATTCGGAAAAGCGGATGTCATTTGAACAAGACGATTGTGTGTATATCTTGTTTAGTTACATAGACGACCGATTCATAGTCAATAGACGTGCCAAATATGTATATTGAAGTAGGAACAGTATGTGCGTGTTCAGTCGAGACTGATTGACAAAAACTTCATGACAACTAGATGTAACATATATATATAAAGACATGAATAGATAGATAACAAACATTAGAAGAAAAAGAAGAAGAAGAAAAATAGCAGCTGTAAAAAAAAGAAAATCTTTTTCTTCTTCTTCTTCTTCTCCTCTTTTTTTTCTTCTCCCTCGTTGGGTTCGCTACTCATCATAGTTGTTTTTTATGATACTCTTCCGGTTGTGACAATTGGTATATTCAATTTTAGTGGTGTAGTTTTATGATAGTGCTTTTTTTCGCTTTTATTTTTATTTGTACGTGACAGTTTTATTGACATTCATCTTAATCTTTATAGATTTTGAATTTTTCACTAATCATTTTATTATTAAATACTAAAATCGATTATAATTCGTGACAAATCTTCTATATCGTATTACCCAATGCAAATAACGAATGAGTAGAACAACTATGTCCTAGTTAATTATAGTGCGGCTATCTGCTCTGAACAAAAAGAAAAAGGATTGTTGTCAATTATCTCGACTTCCTTCATAGGAGACACACAACAAAAATCAAGAGATGTAATTGTGCAAGTAATACTGGATTTACTTCTGGCATTTATCGACAGCCAATATGTCATAAAACAGTAATTTACTACCGCTCAAATCGACCAGTAACCAAATGATGATGATTTTCTATTGCATTTGTATAGTATTTATTTAAAAAAAAGAACTTCTCTTAGCGTCTATTTATTTTAGTTAGTATTCTTGTCACATGTAGAAGTTTCATTCCAAGAAACTAGATAATTGAATTAAAAACTAATGCGATTATATCGAAGTGACAGTTTTATTATGATAGATAAGATTATTGATCCACGAGAGATTTTATTCAGTTCCACAAGATTGTTCAATAAGTTTAGCCATTTTTTCGATTAAATATTCATGACTAACTTCAAATCTTTCAATTTCAATATCACTATTTGCTTTGAATACTTTTTCGTGTAATTTAATAGCAATATTATGTGGACATGAAAAATAATCTTGTTTGTTTAAAATATGTTCCTTATAAAATGTACACGTACAAAAATTGCTTGTTGGCAATGTATAAACAGATACTTGGTTTTTGTTCGCATGAAATTGATAAAGACGACGTGGAATTATTTCATTTGTATGATATAAACCAAGACGTTGTGTATTTTTAAGAAGATGAATCCCATGAAGTAATATTTCATAGCCATAGAAATATGCTAAACCTGGAATAGATATTAAATATATTCACTGATTGAATAGGCTATGGCACAATATAATTGGTATTCGCTATTCATGATAGGACACATACATTGCTTTTCATCGTGAGAACAACTCGATCACAGTTTTAACTTATTATTCCATTGAGATTTTGATCCTACTTCATGAACTCTGTCTGTCTGTCTTAATTACTGATCGGAAAACTATCTCATGGAAAATTTTGTTTTATTAGATAGTTCTTATTATCACCTTTCATCGTCTTGTCGTCGATGGTTTTGAATTCATTAGATTTTTTTTCCACATCAGCTAATAACGCACATTCAATACTTAAAAGATAATTCATCTAAAAACATTCAAGTTTGTTTTTACGTATTGATTTAAGTTTCATTGAATGAGATGGATAGAATAGAGACGATCTTTTTCTTCTATGGCAAAGTCGTGTCTCTATCATTATTCTAAAAGCAGAAAAATACCTTGTAATTATTGTCACTCTGCATTTAGTATAAAATTAGTAGGCGATTTTCGCCTTCCTTGTCTGACTGTAGACATTTCCGGCACGATTATATATCCTACTTTTAGAAACGATGAACTCTGTCTTTTGACCTTGAATTCTATATATAGAAGCTATATTTGTTCAATAAATTGAACCTTTTGTTTTTTCAATAGTTTTTATCGCGTCGAAAGCGATGTATTAAAAGATTAAAATTTTTACAAGCACACCTAAACGAAGGTGCTCTATCGTACAGTGAGATTTGCGCTCATATATATATATAAAGTACGTGCTTTTACCGTATTAGACGAAACGACCGAGATGCTATTAACTTTAATTCCTGTCTCAATATCCTTTATAGAAACAAATATATTCATTGAAAAACTATTCCAATAATAAATTCAGAGTGGTTGCAATCCGCATAGTCTATTAGCTTCATTGTAAATCATCTGTTAAGAGATTTTCGTAAATTTTCCAAAGGAAGATATCAATAGGAATGAAGTACAGATGTAATCCAGAGTATAAATAACAGTATCTTGATTGCGTTGATGTCGAAAAAGAATTATTCTATGAGATCCCTTTTATTCATATTTATATATTTGATTACTTCATCTTCCTAAACGTTTATTTTTAAAAGAAAATCACACGCTTAATAGCTACGAAGGGGAACAAATACGAGGAACCGGACAAGGAGCAATAGTATTCGTGTTCTCAGTTCAATACAATTCTAATGATATTTGGCCCATTTGTACTGTTCTAAAAAAGAGAAAAGTATTTTAAACAAAATTTAGAAAAATCACTTCAATATAACGACTTACTTCGATCAGGCATTGCGAAGACGATGAAGTTAATAAGTGAAGCGACAACAAAAATTTGTGTATACCAAATAAGATTTGGTTTTTTGTTATCCAAATAGGCACGATAAAATTTCCAGAAAGCTAAATAAACCAATCTCATTATATAATTTACTTTTTAATTAAAATAATTTTCAACTTACTTCGAATGCCACCTTGATAAATACCCATTGGGGTTTTATCACGTCGTGCAACCCATGTTGAGATGTCCGCTAATTTGACATCACTGAAATGAAGATCGCCTGGAAAAATAATAATGAAATCAAGTTTTTTTCTTCTTGTATCTATTTATTAAACATACGTTTTCCATAATAACGCCATGGACAATATGGTCCATGTACACGTGGATTAAAATCTCGTGGATATTCGTTAAATACTTTGAGATATTTCGCTAGATTTAGGTATTGTAATGGGTCCCAACGAGCTTTGATACGATCCGGATTACCGGGAATAATCGTTTCATTGGTTTTACTATACCACGTGTCACCCATAGGACTATTCGATCTGAAAAATGTCAAAAACTCTACAATGTTTACATCGAATTTTGGAGAATATTTCACACAAATAATAAGTCTCATCGCCATTGCTATTTTCTCACGGCCACTGGCAGCTGCCAATCAGAAACAAATAGCGCTACATTCGATGTGCAAACATATTGATCAACATATATGATAATCATTTTTATTAAGATTATTCAAAAGGATCTAAGTTTTATATTGAATATTTATTGATCATGAAGTTATTTTCATATTGATCGAAATAGCTTATGTACTTGGCATTTCAGATTCATATACATTCTTTATACATTTTGTACGTGCAAATTTTCGGTTCGTATGTTGATTGTATAAATATGAACAATGGCAAAGTTTTACAAAGAATGATGTATGAAACACAATAGAAACAAAAAAAAGTCGTTTTTTTTCTTCTTCATTTGATAAAAGTATCTATCGAGGATCAAAAGATACAATCGTTTTCTTTTTTTATTCTGATATAATTAACGAGACATTGAAGGAGATTCATGTATTCTTCCGTTAAAAAAAAGAACGTGAAATTAACTATTGTTCACTGAAAGGCGTATAATCATCTATTTGGAAAAAAAATGAGCCTTATTGTATTCAACAAAGGGGTAAAAAAACGTACATTCAAGTGTTCCGCATTGTACATCTTGTTTCTCCTTGACACACTTGTCATTAGAAGCAATGTCTGTTATTGTTCAACTGACAGTACGATATGAAAGACGATCATTTGTCATGGCATTTATTCTTATCAGTTTCATCTTATAAATTAAGCCGCTCTTCTTTTTCTATCCTATGAAAGATATCACCGTGAAGATTTCGTATGAAATTGAGAAACAAGTGTGTGTGTGTACGTGTTTTTTGAAGACATCGTTTTATATTTGTAGCATTCGTTTGATGTATTTTATCTGTGAACTTTGCGAGTATCATAACAATAAGAAGCAAAAAAACGAAGAAAGAAAGAAGAGAATGAATGTAAACTTATGATGTTGATATGATTGATTTAATGATAAGAAAACGTGTGGAATGACAATGTGTAATAAAAGAGACAAAGCACGTCTATTATCAATAAGCGCACTCAAGATGATCGACATTACAACAACTAGTAAAAATATACATACACACAAACGCGCGCAGTGTTTAACACATCGAGGGGAAAAAAAAGAATAAATCTATTTAAAAGCATTTTCGATGAACAATTGATGGACCTGATTCATCGTATTCTTGTTTTGAAATCCACATTTGTTGAAAGGTTGATAATGAAGCTAAGATTGAACCACCAATCCATAC